ACCAGTTAGTCTGCAAGCCAACCAGTTAAGTCTTCAGACAAACCAGTTAGTCTGCAAACCAATCAGTTAGTCTGCAACTCAACCAGATAGTCTGGAACCCAAACCAGTTAGTCTGGAACCCAAACAGTTAGTCTTCAGACCAACCAGTTAGTCTACAACCCAACCAGTTAGTCTCCAACCCAAACAGTTAGTCTTCACAACCATGTAATGTACAATGTGTCTGGTATTGCCCCTCACATGCTGCAGTATAATGTACTTTGCTTTAGTATACTATAGTGATACTACTACTACCAGGTGAACTAACCTCCCAGGTGAAGTTCGATGTCTTGCCCGTCGTTGTCGTCTCCCCAGTAATCTGACAGAAATACAGGTGAGTTCAGTCAAATCCTTCTTTACTTCATTTACTTGATAATGCGCAGGTTCAGAAACTAGAAGCTGATTGGTTACACGATGCAGTCACCTGTATGACAGCACTTGTTTACCTGCTGGTAGTTTCATTCGCACATTCAGACAAAGACTGTTCTGTCTGCACATTTGACCAGATCGTCATTTTATTCATATTTGATTTGATTTGATTTGTCACATTCATGGTGAATTCAGCTGTTACTGTCTCAGCAGACCTGAGGTGAGTTTGGCATGTTTGAGATCAACCAATCAATCTAGGGTTAGGGTTATATATACTGTATAATGTGTTTATTTGTTTACATATATACTGTATATGTGTTTATTTGTATATATATACTGTATAATGTGTTTATTTGTTTACATATATACTGTATATGTGTGTTTATTTGTATATATACTGTATAATGTGTTTATTTGTTTACATATATACTGTATATGTGTGTTTATTTGTATATATACTGTATAATGTGTTTATTTGTTTACATATATATACTGTATATGTGTGTTTATTTGTATATATATACAGTATATGTGTTTATTTGTGTTTATATACTGTATATGTGTTTATTTGTACCTGCTTCCCCTCTCAGAGCTTTCTCCACCATCACTCCTCGCTCCTCCAGCTGTCTCTGTTTCTCCTCCACCTGCTGCAGCTGCCTCTGGATCATCTGAAACCAGCAGAGACCAGACTCTCACCTGTCTCACCTGTAGCTGATTCATTTGGTCCAGACCTTTCAGTTCTGGTCCGGTACATGTTTACCATGTTGACTTTTAACAAACAAATCAAGAGGAAGAAACATGAAGTCCTTCTCAGGTGGCCCTCGGTCTTAGTTTGATGGACAGCTTTCACACCAAAAACAAACCGAACCCACCTGAGGTCATCTGACCCAAACCCAACAGATTAAAGCTGGTTCAGGGTCCCTTTGACTCTGCTGCCACCTGCTGGGCTGAAGGACTAACTCCGCTGGTTAAACTAAAAACAGAAGTGCTTTACAGTTTTTCTCGGTCGCTTTGGTGCATTTCTCAGATCAACGGACCATAAATAAAGTAAGTATAGACAACAACACCACAGTAGCAACACTCAGACCATTCTCCCACAAGACCATAAATACCAGTGAACAGTATATATATATATATATATATATATATATATATATATATATAGGAATGTTGTTTTCTCCTGAGAACGGAATAATTAATTGTTGAAGAGGATTATGATTAAATTGATTGAACACAAAACCTTACAGTAAGACTATAAGTCCTGTGCTCTACCAAATGAGCTAACCAATGATACTGCAAACCACACTATAATTACCATTATGGTTATCTTGAAATCACGAGAAAATTATCCTGTTATCACAGGAAAACAGAGTAAAAAATATTTGATTAGGGCTTCCGTATGTATATATATGAATGTATATATAGATAGACATTCTATACGTGTCTATTTGAATTATTTTGTAAATGTGTCCTGAATTGATGAAGATATCTGTTGTGATGTGGAAGAGAATCTGTGATACAACAGGCAACAGTCCTGTCTCTTTCTTTTCTGTATTACAATGACATGCTCTGTCAACAAATTACAGATTCCTGTTTTCTCTCCTGCAATGTATAACTGTGTACATCAGAAAATACTTACAGAGTACACAGTTATATTGACAAGATGGCTAAACATTTTGACTTGCTTGTTCATAAACGAGACGCAAGGACTTGTCGTTCTGAGGCACTGACAAGTTCAATGAAATAAAGATTTGCTTTTGAGAGATAGACTAAGGATTTTGAGCAAGTTCTGGGCTTTTGCAGGTAATCCACTGTGTTGTGCCGTTTGTACTACCTGTTTTGAGAAATGCACTTACTGTTTTGCAAATGTTAAGGATGATTCGAGAAATGCACCAACGCAACTGAGAAAAACTGTAAGATGACTTCAGAACTGATGAGTAAAAGAGGGAAACTTCAGTAAGAGCTCAACTCAAAGTCCCGTTTGTGAAGGAGCTTTGAACCAGATCTCATAGTCAGTGAAGACAACCATGTGTCTCAGTCCTCATGGGGACCTGGTCTTTACCCTGACTGTCTCAGGGAACTCACCTGAGCTTTGTGGAGTCTCTTCAGCTGCTCCTGTTTGGCCTTTCTTCTAACAGCTCTCTGAACTCGTCGGGTGATTTTGGCATCCAGGTCTTCGTCCTCTCGTCCCCTCTGGAACATGGTCTCCTCCTTTACGCTCAGACTAGACGGCTCCTTCGGCTGGACCAGGACCCCCACCACTTCTGTGGTACAAGAGGACCGTCCTTCAGAGTCCTGGAGGGGGACTCTGTCCTTCCGAGAGCGTCTCTGAAACAACAGTGTGGATCCGTTACAGGACATCTACCATATAGACTGGACTGCAGGTTGTTAGACCACCACCCAAACTGGTTTCATGATAACGGCTCTGTACCTTGATGGCGTACGCTCGTTTAAAAGCCAGAGCGTGAGGAACATAGGCAGGCTGAGAGACACGAAGGACATAAAGACGTTTAAAGATGGATTTAGACCTCGGGTCTCAACAAACACGGTACTAAAAGATTCTAGTCTAGTCTCCAGTCAGTGATCCAGTCCACGTCAAGGCTCAAGAAAGTCAGTAAGTCAAGACAAGAACAAGTCAGTCAGTACAAGTTAGGCTGGTCTTGTCTGACTTGGGATTTGTCGACTGACTTCAGACTACGTTAAGTCAAAACTAATCAGTCAGTCAAGACAAGTCTTAAATCAGTCGAGTCAATCTAGTATCAAGTTAGAGGAGAAAAGTCTCCATTCCGTCAACGGAAGTCGAGTCTTTCATGTGTGCCGACTGTCAGACTGAAGGACTTTTGGACATTTGGCTGTTGAAGCTATTTACTGACAGCAAACATTGTTTCAATGCAGAGGTCAGATAATATAAATATTCTGGGAGCTCACCAGGTTCAAAACACGTCACGTCTCAGCAAGTCCAAGTCTGCAGCTGTTGGTCAGTACAAATCACTGAAAACTAAACCAGCACGAAAACCTAAACACTCAGCACGGATTCCTAAATCTAGGACAGCTGATACCTCCTGGTTCTCCTCCTCCTCCTCTTTTATTGTGACCTTCTGGATTTGAGACGTGAGGTCGAAGAGCTCCAAACGCAGCTACGAACACCAGAACAAGATCCAGAATCCAGTTATTAGTCTGATCCTGAACTCAGCATGTAAAACACAACAGGATCTTAGTGGAGATGGTGATACTATGCGGGGAGGGTGTGGTTCAGATCAGATCTTGAAGGCATAGATCTGAGTGTGGAGTCCCCCAGGGTTTGATTCTCGGGTCGCTGTTATTCAGCCTGTACATGTTTCCTCCAGATCAACTCACACCTGAGGGTTTACCACAGCTGTGCAGACACTTAGACCCTGGACCATCAGAACATGCACCCTCTGACCCTGGACCCTCAGACCCCAGTCCCTCAGACCCCGTTACCTCAGACCCTGGTCCCTCAGACCCTGCACCCTTAGACCCCAGTCCCTCAGACCCTGGACCCTCTGATCCTGGACCCTCAGACCCTGCACCCTGAGACCCTAGATCCTCTGACCCTGGTCCTTCAGACCCTGGACCCTCAGACCCTGCACCCTCAGACCCTGCACCCTTAGACCCCAGTCCCTTAGACCCCTTTGCCCTCCTGAGGTCATCTGACCCAAACCCAACAGATTAAAGCTGGTTCAGGGTCCCTTTGACTCTGCTGCCACCTGCTGGGCTGAAGGACTAACTCCGCTGGTTAAACTAAAAACAGAAGTGCTTTACAGTTTTTCTCGGTCGCTTTGGTGCATTTCTCAGATCAACGGACCATAAATAAAGTAAGTATAGACAACAACACCACAGTAGCAACACTCAGACCATTCTCCCACAAGACCATAAATACCAGTGAACAGTATATATATATATATATATATATATATATATATATATATATATATATATATATATATATATATATATATATATATATATATATATATATATATATATATATATATATATATATATATATATAGGAATGTTGTTTTCTCCTGAGAACGGAATAATTAATTGTTGAAGAGGATTATGATTAAATTGATTGAACACAAAACCTTACAGTAAGACTATAAGTCCTGTGCTCTACCAATGAGCTAACCAATGATACTGCAAACCACACTATAATTACCATTATGGTTATCTTGAAATCACGAGAAAATTATCCTGTTATCACAGGAAAACAGAGTAAAAAATATTTGATTAGGGCTTCCGTATGTATATATATGAATGTATATATAGATAGACATTCTATACGTGTCTATTTGAATTATTTTGTAAATGTGTCCTGAATTGATGAAGATATCTGTTAGTCCCTTAGACCCCTGTGCCCTCAGACCCTGGACCCTTAGACCCTGGACACTCAGACCCTGGACCCTTAGACCCTGGACACTCAGACCCTGTGCCCTCAGACCCTGGACACTCAGACCCTGTGCCCTCAGACCCTGGACACTCAGACCCTGTGCCCTCAGACCCTGGACCCTTAGACCCTGGACACTCAGACCCTGTGACCTCAGACCCTGGACACTCAGACCCTGTGCCCTCAGACCCTGGACACTCAGACCCTGGACCCTGTGGTGAAGGTGCTGTGAGTTGCTGTGTGTTTGAGTCTTACATTGTTTCTGGGTTTCAGCGAACACCTCTGCAGCAGATCCGATGAGTCCAGATCCGACTCTTCTGTCAGACCTCCTCTCGCGTCTGAAGACACAGGAAGTACAATCATTACCTCATCACTGTGACCTCACTCTGTCTATATGTGTTTATTTATTACATCATCACCTGCAGCTCTCCTCTGATTGGCTGGGTCCTTCTTCACCCTCTCTGCAGGTAAAGTCCCGCCCCACTTCTTCTCCTTCCTGTTTCCAGAGAACACCGACCTCCACAGGGCTCTGGCTCCGCCCCCTTCTGTTCCTACCTGTACAGGGGATGGAGCCTCTCTGAGCCCCTTCAGCTGGAGGAGGAGAGCCCTGCCCCCCCCCTGCAGAGGTAGGAGGAGGAGTCGAGGGGGGAGGCTGCGGGCTCCTCTCTGTCTCCTCCTCCTCCTCACCCCCTCTGATGCTGCCCCCTCCTCCTCTGGCTCCGCCCCTCTCTCCTGCAGAAGGAGGGGCTTCTTTGGCGGCAGTTCGGGGCTGATATCGTCAAACGAGCCCCGCCCCCTAGCAGGTTGTAGGAGGGCGTGTCTCTGAGCAGCCGTTCCCATGACGCCGACAGGTGTGAGCATCACTGGCAGAACTGTGTCTCGGTCGGGGGCGGAGTCTGGCGTGGTGACGAAGGAGGCGGTGGAGGGCGGAGTCTCAGATGGAGGTGCAGAGGGCAGCAAGCTGGAGGTGGAGTCAGGCTCCACAGGTGTGTCACAGTGTGTGATGTCACTTCCTGCTGCTGAGGAGATGTTCTGAGAGACGAGAGAAAACTTCTCCTCTGAGGGAAAAGTAAATATTTCAAATCAAAATTAGGCGACAACAAAACTCCACATTTATAATTTGTTTTGTTTAAATCGTAATTTAGTAAAAAATGACAGATTCCCACAGAGGGCGTTAAATTTAG